ACGCTATGATATATCTAGTACCTGTGTGTAAACGCTATGATATATTTAGTGCCTGTGTGTTAACGCTATGAAATATTTAGTGCCTGTGTGTTAACACTATGATATATTTAGTGCATGTGTGTAAACGCTATGATATATTTAGTGCCTTTGTGTTAACGCTATGATATATTTATTGTCCGTGTGTTAACGCTATGATATATTTAGTGCCTGTATGTTAACGCTATGATGTATTTAGTGCCTGTGAGTTAACGATATGACATATTTATTACCTGTGTGTAAACACTATGATATATTTAGTACCTGTGTGTTAACGCTATGATATACTTTGTACTTGTGTGTTAACGCTATGATATATTTCGTGCCTGCGTGTTAACGCTATGATATATTAAGTACCTGTGTGTTAACGCTATGACATATTTAATACCTGTGTGTTAACGCTATGATATATTAAGTACCTGTGTGTTAACGCTATGATATATTTAGTGCCTGTGTGTTAACGCTATGATATATTTAGTGCCTGTGTTTTAACGCAATGATATATTTAGTGCCTGTGTGTTAACGCTATGATGTATTTAGTGCCTGTGAGTTAACGCTATGATATATTTAGTGCATGTGTGTTAACGCTATGATATATTTAGTACCTGTGTGTTAACGCTATGATATATTTAGTGCCTGTGTGTAAACGCTATGATATATTTAGTGCCTGTGTGTTAACGCTATGATATATTTAGTGCCTGTGTGTTAACGCTATGATATATTTAGTGCCTGTGTGTTAACACTATGATATATTTCGTACCTGTGTGTTAACGCTATGATATATTTAGTACCTGTGTGTTAACGCTATGTTATATTAGTGCCCTGTGTGTACTTGTGTGTTAACGCTATGATATATTTAGTACCTGTGTGTTAACGCTATGATATATTAAGCACCTGTGTGTTAACGCTATGATATATTAAGTACCTGTGTGTTAATGCTATGATATATCTATTGCCCGTGTGTTAACGCTATGATATATTTAGTGCCTGTGTGTTAACGCTATGATATACTAAGTACCTGTGTGTTAACGCTATGATATATTTAGTGTCTGTGTGTTAACGCTATGACATATTTAATACCTGTGTGTTAACGCTATGATATATTAAGTACCTGTGTGTTAACGCTATGATATATTAAGTACCTGTGTGTTAACGCTATGATATTTAAGTACCTGTGTGTTAACGCTATGATATATTCAGCACCTGTGTGTTAACGCTATGATATATTTCGTGCCTGTGAGTTAACGCTATGATATATTTAGTGTCTGTTTGTTAACGCTATGACATATTTAATACCTGTGTGTTAACGCTATGATATATTAAGTACCTGTGTGTTAACGCTATGATATACTAAGTACCTGTGTGTTAACGCTATGATATTTTAAGTACCTGTGTGTTAACGCTATGATATATTTAGTGTCTGTGTGTTAACGCTATGACATATTTAATACCTGTGTGTTAACGCTATGATATATTTAATACCTGTGTGTTATCGCTATGATATATTTAGTGCCTGTGTATTAACGCTATGATGTATTTAGTATCTGTGTGTTAACGCTATGATATATTTAGTTCATGTGTATTAACGCTATGATATATTTAGTGCCTGTGTGTTAACGCTATGATATATTTAGTGCCTGTGTGTTAACGCTATGATATATTTGGTGCCTGTGTGTTAACGCTATGATATATTTCGTGCCTGCGTGTTAACACTATGATATATTTAGTACCTGTGTGTTAACGTTATGATATATTTATTGCCGGTGTGTTAACGCTATGATATATTTAATGCATGTGTGTTAACGCTATGTTATATTCAGTGCCCGTGTGTTAACGCTATGATATATTTAGTACTTGTGTGTTAATGCTATGATATATTAAGTGCCTGTGTGTTAACGCTATGACATAGTAAGTGCCTGTGTGTTAACTATATGACATATTTAGTACCTGTGTGTTAACTATATGACATATTTAGTACATGTGTGTTAACTATATGACATATTATGTGCCTGTGTGTTAACGCAGTGGTATATTTTATTCATCCGTGTTGACGCTATTGGGTATTTCGAACCTGTTTGTTGACGTTCCTCTGTATCAATTTATAATGTAACTTATAGGAATAACCTGGAAATTAAGTATTCTGTAGGATAATGTATAACCTGTGTATCTCTTATGATAACCGACGAACTAATTTATTTCCAAGATTTTTGAGCATGCGCGAATCGGAACATCATGCAACACCATTTCACGTGTCACACCGCATAGTAAAGAGTTAGTTAATTTGAAGGTTAAACAAATGGAAAGTAGCATTTTCTTTAAGATGTCTCTAGTCAACTCAACGAGTGATTAATCTTTGTTGGGTTATTGGTGCAACATAATATTGTTATATATGGAATCAAAGTAACCCCTATGTGGCAAAATTTCTTTTGGTGTATCAACAAAATCAATTTCCTTTTCCTTACAGAGCTTAAAGAAGCGTTAGTTTTGTAGTGAAAGTGAAGGAACATAGAAAGCAGTGTTTTAGGTCCTTGCAACTGCCAAAGAATTTGATCTCAAAACTTGATAATCAATTCATGCATATGAATTTGAATGTCCTCTTGAAAGCAAAGACTCTCCAGATACTTTAAATATCTTACAAATAGGAAACGCCCAAAATAAAAGCTGATACATGCTCAGATACAACGAGCTAAGAGTTCTAACAAATGAATATATCCTGTCCTACTAATGGATGGGAATTTAGTTCAAACGAAAGTGACAAAGAACCCCGTTTGTGGGTAATAGGTTTGCTTTGTTGTCAACTATTCAACATTTACATGGCATCAACATATTGGACTTAGTGCTCGACTGCAGGAGGCCAATATCAAAACACAATTACATTAAAATGCTATGTGAAGAGAACCTCGGAGACTTTTCAATTGAATTTATTTCAATTTATAAATCTGAACAAGTTTCATCATTGAGAGCTTGGCTATTCATAGCCAGATTATTTTTACAGTTTGGCACTTGCCCCAATTTTCATTCTATAGAGAATTCGGTTTGAATAACCCTTGGACAACATCAGTATTGTTGATGATACGAGAGAGATCATTGTCATAAGGACTGTCGAATATTGGACCAAAGCACTCAATTGCGATGGATTAATTCAAAAACGAATATTCCCAGATATAACACATTCTGAATATATATTTTTTTTATGAAATTAGGCTTATGTCCTTCGAGTGACTTAGTTTCCATCCACACCGACGAATGAAATTGCTTGTGTTCCGAATCGCCATGACAACAAAGTTCATCTCAACAGGTAATGTCCGTGGGTGATGAGGCCATTGAGGGGCACAATCTCAGGGTATGATGACATATGATGACTATAAATATTGAATCAGCTATGCAATGAAAACACCAAACAAAAATCTAGCACTACAGCAGATATAGCAATTGGTACGGAACAGGGCAATGTGTAATATTCATGTACTTTCGTTACGTCGCATGTTTAAAAGGTAAATATGTAACAATGATAAAACGAATTTACGAAATGCCTTATTCGAAAAATGTTATTCGAAAAATACTGATTTCGAAACTTTGTTATGGATATTCAAATATAATTTATCAATGCCGGATTAAAAACAATCTTTCGAAATCAAAGGTTCCTCATTTCGACCAATATATTAATGTCATTATCATCACCGCCACCAAAACAAACACCATCATCACCACCATCCCCATCATCACTACAACCATCACCACAACAACAATCACCATCACCACCACCGCCACCACCAAAACCACCGCCACCATCAAAACCACCATCACCACCACAACCATCACCACCACCACCACTCCCACCACTACCATCACCACAACCATCACCACAACCATAACCACCACCTTAACCCCACAAAAAACACCATCACTACCACCACCAAAACTTATACCATCACTACAACCATCACTACAATCACCACCACTACCATCACCGCAACCATCGCCACAACAATCACCACAACAACCATCACAACCACCACCACCACCAACACCACCACAACCACCACAACCTTCACCACCACCAACACCACAAACATCACCACCACCATAACCCCTTAAAAAACAACCACCACAAAAACCACCATTACCATAACAACCGCCATCACCATCATTACCACCTTCACAACAACCATCACCTTCACCACAACAACACCAACCAACTCCAAACCACCATCATCACCACCACCACCAAAACGAACACCATCACCACCATCAACACAACCACAACAAACCAACATCGTCACCACACCACCAACAACCACCAACAACACAACCACCACCAAAACCATCAAAACCACCACCACAACCATCACCATCACAACCATCACCACCACAACCATCACCATCACAACCATCACCATCACAACCATCACCACCAGCACCACCAAAACCACCACCTCCACAACAACAACAACCACCACAACCATCACCACCACCATCATCATCATCACCACCATCACCATCACCATCATCTCCAACACCACCATCATCACCAACACAACCATCACCACCACAACCACCACCATCACCACCACAACCATCACCACCACAACCACCACCATCACCAACACCACCACCACCACCACCACACAACACCATCACCAAAACCACCACCACCATCACCACCACCATCACCACAACCATCACCAACACCATCACCACAACCACAACCACCACCATCACCACCACAGTCATCACCACCACAACCACCACCATCACAACCACCATCACCACATAATTACACCCATCACCACCATCACCAAAACCATCACACAATTACACCATAACCATCACCACCACAATTACACCATCACAACCATCACCACAACCATCACCACAACTATCACCACCACCATCAACACCACCATCACCGCCACAATTACACCACCACCACTACAACCATCACCACAACAATCATCAACACAACCACCCCCATCACATCCATCACCACCACAACCAACACCGCAACCATTACCACCATCACCACCACTACCATCACCACAACCACCACAAACCACCACCAGCATTACCATAACCACCGCCATCACCACCACCGCCACCACCACCATCACTACCTTCACCACAACCATCATCACCACAATTACACCACCACAACCATAACCACCACCATCACACAACCACAATCAGCACCACCACCAAAACCACCACCACCATCACCACCAACACAACCATTACCACAACCACCACCACCACAATCATCACCACAACCACCACCGCCGCCACTACCACCACCACAACCATCATGACAATCATCACCACAGCAAGCACCACCACCACTTCCACCACCAAAACCATCACCACGACCATTACCATTACCACCACTATCATTACCACAACAACCATCACCATAACAATCACCACCACCATCACCACCACCACAACCATCCCACCACCACAACCATCACCACCACCACCATTACCACCACAAACATCACCACCACCACCATCACAACTATCACCACCACCATCACCACCATAATTACACCACCACACCACACCACCACCACAACCACCACCACAACCACCACCACAACCACCACCACAAACACCACCACAACCATCACCACAAACACCACCACAACCATCACCACACCATCACCACAACCACCACCACATCACCACAACCACCACCACAACCATCACCACAAACACAACCAACCACCACCACAACCACCACCACCACCACAACACCACCACCACAAAACCATCACTATCATTACCACCACAACCATTACCATAACCATCACACCACCACAATCAGCACTACCACCACAACCACCACAACAACCATCACCACAACTACCACCACCACAATCATCACCACAACCACCACCACCACCACAATTACACCACCACAACCATCATCACCACAATTACACCACCACAACCATTACCACCACAAACATCACCACCACCACTATCACAACTATCACCACCACCATCACCACCATAATTACACCACCATCACTACAACCATCACCACAACCATCACCACAACTATCACCACCACCATCAACACCACCATCACCGCCACAATTACACCACCCCCATCACATCCATCACCACCACCACCACCACCACAACCAACACCGCAACCATTACCACCATCACCACCACTACCATCACCACAACCATCACCACCACCATCACACCACCACAATCAGTACTACCACCACAACCACCACAACAACCATCACCACAACTACCACCACCACAATCATCACCACAACCACCACCACCACCACAATTACACCACCACAACCATCATCACCACAATTACACCACCACAACCATTACCACCACAAACATCACCACCACCACTATCACAACTATCACCACCACCATCACCACCATAATTACACCACCATCACTACAACGATCACCAAAACCATCACCACCACAATTACACCACCATAACCACAACCACCACCATCACCACCACAATTACACCATCACAACCATCATCACCACAATTACACCACCACAACCACCACCACAACCATCACCACAACCACCACCACAACCATCACCACAACCACCACCACAACCATCACCACAACCATCACCACAACCATCACCACAACCACAACCACCACCACAATCATCACCACACCATCACCACCACCACCAAAACCATCACTATCATTACCACCACAACCATCACCATAACCATCACACCACCACAATCAGCACTACCACCACAACCACCACAACAACCATCACCACAACTACCACCACCACAATCATCACCACAACCACCACCACCACCACCACAATTACACCACCACAACCATCATCACCACAATTACACCACCACAACCATTACCACCACAAACATCACCACCACCACTATCACAACCATCACCACCACCATCACCACCATAATTACACCACCATCACTACAACCATCACCATAACCATCACCACCACAACCACCACAACCATCCCACCACCACCACTACCACCACAACCACAACCATTACCACAACCACCACCACCATCACCACCAACACCATACCACCATCACCACCAACACCACCACAACCATCATCACCAACACCACCACCACCATTACCACCACCATCACCACAACCACCATCACCATTATCACCACCACAACCATCACCACTACCATCACAACCACCACCACCACCATCACCACTACCACCACCATCACCACAACCACCATCACCATCATCACCACCACCACCATCACCACAAGCACTTCCACCACCACAACCACTCGAAGACTAGGGCTATTGTACTGGTACTTCCAAACAGAAAATATCTTTGTACTATTTGTGGAACACGTCAGAACAAAATCCGAAGATTCATGTAAACCATTGTTAGGCATCATTACCACAACAATTCTCAGTCTGATATCTGTGCTTTACAATCACAAAAGATGTATAATTTGAAGGGATCTTAACAGACAACAAATTTATTGTTAATATCGATTGAACATACAAACAAACTAACGAGTATCAAACACGTCCTGGTTCATATCCCACAAACCAATAGAATATTTCTCAATGAGATCACAATAACGACCTTAAAACTTTCCGATATTTCCATAAACCTTCATCTTTTGAAACCCTGTAATACGATTTTTTTCCCCCGTCAGCCTATATATTAGGATATACATTTACGTGCATAACTACATCAAAATTGATAGAATCAATTGTATGTTAACATTAAGAGTCACTGCGTCAATTGAAAATATATTCATATCCTGGTGAGCTATGGGTTATATTGACAAGAAAGCGTGCCATAAAACCGAACATGGTAATCAGATTGAAAGTTGTTTCGATATGAATTATTGATTGATTGATAGCGGTATTGATGATGGTAATAAATATACATTATCAACCAGTTTCGATTGTTAATGCCAAGCATTCATTGAATTTTTATTTCCTAACATAATATTTAGAAAATTTTTGATATCCGTGTTATAATTACGTTAATAACAGATTCCATCTACTGCACGCAATCATCATATACCGAGTGTACCATCGATACATTGCTTTGTGTCATCAAAGTTGGTTTCCTTTGCTTTACATTTTAATCCAATTAATCGATGACTCGGCTAATTAACTAATTACGTAACCGAATGACTAAAGAATGCACGCCGATTGTCACAAAACAGATAAAAAAATAATTAATCATTTTAACGAAATAGGAAAGTTCGAACCATCAGCTAAATACCAAAATACTTAAACAGTAAGGAAACAGCCGATATTATTAATTTTTTAAGCATTTTTTTTTTTTTTTTTTGAAAAACGTCAAATTACAAACGTCATAGCCCAGTGTGTGGAAAATGAGCTAGATCTTATTAGAAGGGTCAAGTCGCTATGTGTTAACCTGGATGTTTCTGCGGATAAGTATATCAAGTATATTGTAGAGATCACATGAGTCTTGAAAAATCTGCTAGCATTTTCCTCCATTGCAAAAGCTACGAACTCAGACAGACTTTAGTGTATCTAATTCATTTTCAATGTCCTCGACAGACAGCCCCTGTTAACTGTGCGAGTCTTTCTGTCGTACTGAATTAAAAGTGACTGTGTAACAATCGCGACGGGAAGTTAAATCTACATCATGATGAAATTCCCCGAATGATTTCTGATTGCTTGTCTAGGCTGAAAACTGTAAAGACATTATTTGACCCCCTCCCTTTTTCCAAATTAAATTAATGTTATATATTTTCAAATGTACAATTGTTCCGTATCTAACATTACTATTGCATGTTAGAAAATTGTTGTTTGTGATGCACAGAACTGTTTTGCATACCGTGAAAACGTAAAACGTTGCGGTTTTACCATACTGATTAAAACAGTGTTCCTTCCCATGTCTTTGTAAAAAACAGAAAAACTGAATTATTTATAAATGTGTTCTGATGTTAAACCGCGTACCATGTCCTCCATAAACCGCCAAGGGACTATAACCATGTATACGTAATTTTGCATAAAAATGTTGTTTCTATATCGAAGGGAACCTGCACTTTTCCAAAGACGTCAGATATTTGTTACTGATAATCAAAACTAAATTGTAAACCTGTTCGGTTTTTGTAAAGCAATATAAGTTTTCAATATTGTAATGTGCCTCGATGTTTATAACGCAATGTCGAACAAGATCGATATCAGAGTTGGTATACAACAGCAATCAATACAGACGTGTTGAAAAGCGTATCTTGAAAAGCACAAGAGTGTCATTTTAGCGGGTAGAGCGTCTCAGCCGGAACACATTTCAGCATTATATGTGTATTGTCATTACGACACGTGTTTAAAATTTAATCTGTAATGATGTAGACAAAACGAATTTCCCAGATGTCTGATTAAAAAGATAATGATTTTGAAACGTTGTAAGGGAATTATCCCGGTATTGAAATACCCGTTACAACGCTAGCATTGTCATACCGGTGATGCTCATTCAGAATCCAGAGGTCCTGATATCGGCTTTACCATATGTTTACTAACACCGTGATAACAGGTGATATCACGCACCCTTCTCAATATATTTTCTTTTTATTTTTGCCGCTTCTGCTTATCGCTGTCTAATTTGAACATAAATTTTCGGATTGTTGCGTTTCCGGATTTGTTTCCGTTATTAGCCCTTCTGGTCAGTGGTTGGGACTTTAGACGGTCTTTTTTTTTCTTCCGTGCCTTGATATTTCACTCTGGAATGTCGAAGTGGCAACCGGCGGCACGAAACTCAAATCTCTCGGCGTAGTCAATGGCGTTCGCTGTTCCCCCATGTCGAAGTCGGTGTAAACAATCTGTAATTAAGTACCTTCGAATACCGCGGTAGGTACAGATATGGGGACAAGGTAGGATTGAAACTGTTTGTTACCTGTTAAGAATCGTTAATTATCCAATTAGCTAAGCCCTTCATGCCTGTTAAGTCAGGCACATGTGTTAATTTGTTTACATAAGGTAATTAAATATGTAAGGGTCACGCTCATTGTGGTTTCCTAATTATCAATGGATCAAACCACATCAACTGTTTCACCGCGGTAACCAGTAATCAATTAATCTTTGTGTAGAAAACCTTTTTTTTTTAAATCTGACCCCAA